TATTCCATTCTACATGATGTATATGATATTCATAATTAACATGTTTAGCATTCCTCGAAAGGTAAATTTTTAATAAATGTTGTGAATGTCGAAAAGCCCAATTTCGTTTTTGATCAGAAGTTTGAAAAACCACAATTTATTCAACAACCGAATTTAAGATACCTTTCATCATTGTCTCAGACTGTAAAGAAATGAAAATCAGCTTGCTATAGATAAATCCTATTACATCTTCTAAGTAAGTTAAAAATAACGTGGAAGAACTTCAGGTTTAAGAACATTTGGCTTTTGCTTATTGCATCTCTAAATTGTAGTGTCGGCTTTCGCTTTTGGGCGACAAAATAGTACTACTTTATTCTTTATTTAATCCGTTAGTGTCGTTTGCTATGGAAAAGTTTCTTGAAACTTATGGAGCTGTACTTTTGCATAGTAAAATCATACGCGAAGCAATTCTCGGTCTATTGACCTCATTAACGGAGCACGTGAAATCTTCGTGCATGTACTTTGAGACAAAGCCATTATTTTTGAATTAAATAAAGAGCTTTCACCTAAAGATTCAGTTATAATTGTCATTCATCATTTAATATTCGCATCAGTTATATATCTTTGACTTACCTAAAAACCAGATATTAAAAATGGTTCAGTAACCTTAAAATTTTTTACGCGTATTTTGGGAAGAAACACTTTGTTTTCTATATTTTTCACATTATCTATCTTTTGAATATTTATAAGAACTTGCCATTGCAGGAAAAATCTTCTCAAAGGGGGAGAAAAGTCGTTTAAAAGTGTGTTCACGCCTCTTTTGCCTGTTGTATAACTTGCTGCATTTTCAACGATTTTCATAGGTTTTCATTTAAAACGATAATATACTAACTTACTTTTAATTTGACAAACACGATCTACATCATTTTCTTATTTTGACTTGTTAAAGTTGATTTTTTAAAAATTTACTGACCCATTCTCGAGGAGAGACGAGGGGAGTTAATGGGGAGAAGGGAAGAGGAGGAGTAGGAGAGGTAGGGTAGCTTCGGCCAACTTCTGCATATGCGCAGAAGTTGTCATTTTGTGGTTCACTTTTGAGCTGGAGCAATTCAGCGGCAGCTCAGTAAAAGCACAATTTTCGTACCTCTGTTTTCCGTTCCTGATGGACCTGTGCAGTAGATAATAAGTCTCCCCGAGGACTAATATCACTCGTAAGGTCGTCGCTTGGCATTGCACTCATTAGTACTAGGCAATGCCTGCATCTGTTATTCTGTACCATACACCCAAGTTGTTGTTATGAGAGGCTGAATGTTTTTATTTATTTTAAAGCATTTTCCCACCAGTCGCACTTAGCGACATTCAACAAAGAGGCATCACACAAGACAATTCTCGTAACTCTTCAACCGTAGTTAGAATGACTTAAAGACATTTATACAGAGTGAAATGCCGTTGCCCCCCTCCCAAGGTTTTTTCCCGCTCATCGGTGACTTAGTGGGATTGTCATAGTACTAATGTTAGAGGTAATTTCCAGACTACTTCGGAAAATACCTCTTATCAGTCAAATTTGATACAGGAGATTCTTACTAAGAGATAAATGTATGTTATTATGTTGAGCTATAATCCTTCATGAGAAATTCTCTTATAATTATCCATCTTTTGTCGGGTAAGTACGATATGTTTTACAATAAGATTAGCACTTGCATCGTAATTCTAGTGTAGCACAAAGTTAATCTTGTATTTGTTCGATAGGAATGAAACTGGCAATTTACATTTTTTATATTCTCTCCTAACTTCTGTCGCCTGAGGCATTCCTTCATCATGGTGAATCGAGTTTATATCACATAGTGTGAACACTTAGTTCAACAAACTTTGCATCCTTTCTTCTACAATTAAGTTGCAGAGGAAAGCTAATTTATTTCTAATACTTAAGTCACATTATCGCTGAATAAGTGCCTTTTGTTCTGTCTAACGTGTCTCGCATTTGCGTGCTTACTTGGATTTCCCAAATACAACTTTTGAAAGATCCATATATTAAAATATGATAATCTGAATAACGCAAGGAGTATGTCATCCCACTGAAGTTTCCTTCCCATGTTGTTTATAAACAAAAAAACCGCATTATCTCCATTTATTTTCCTCTTCAAAAAGAAAGATTTGGAAATGAAGTGAAAGTCTTTTTCAATTTTTACCGACACTACAGTGACGAAGAGGTGGGAGTTTCTTGCACAATAAGTCTGAAGTTGATTTGCGATTTGTACATATCTCAGGTTTACTTCTTACTTGTTTTTAAAGCTATTCTTCACTGATTTTTTCATACTTCTTCCTTCCATGTATTTCATTCCCTAACAATTTGCTGAGATCCGCTACTGAATGCCACTTCCGGATCCACCATTTTAAGGTAGAATGAGAAGTTTGTTCGTAATAATTGTGCTGGCCGCCATAATCCAAGCTGCATCCTCATACAATAGATATTCAGGTAATATTCACGTATTTGAATTGAAGTTATCTCTAGGTGATTCTACCCCAATTTCAGATGTGATGCAGATAAAAAGGGATATTAAGCCTGATTGGGAAGACTTGGGATGGGCATGGGGAAAACGTAGCGCGCCGGATGACATGGTAAACGTGCTTTGTTTCACGCATGTTCCTTTTGCAATCTATCCATTTCAGTACCATAGACGGTTTCTACGATCTATGCAATTGGTGAAGAAGAATCCCGACTGGCATGATCTCGGTTGGACGTGGGGTCGCCGAAAGTAGGATGTTGCAAAAAGGAGTCATGAAGATAGTAAAAATGCAATCATATACACGCCTACCGTACATCCGAGGAATCTAGAAGAGACCTATCTTTTGGACAAGCCGCCGTCGCCATCAAATGTGCTTTGTTTCACATTTCGTCACCTTTTCATCCGCATTGTATTCTAGTAATGCCAATATATAAATTATCTTGTTATCGTTTTAATACAATGTACAAACAAGAGAAAATGAGTACATAATTAGGAACTCAAATAACTCGTATCTAAAGTTACAAACGGCTGCGAGAGGCGGGCCCCATTGACCAATGCGAATTCGCATTTGCGCGCGCAGATTGTTGGTGGGGCACGCGATTTGAAGAGCTTTGTTCCACTTTGTTAATCTGAGGAAACCTTGAAATTTAGAGAGCTTGTTTCATTTTCCTAATTTGAGAACATGGAATATGCAGAGTTGATCAAAGAA